TGCTTCAGTTTCAGAGCCATATAAAACGACTGGTCTTAACGTTTTATATATTTTGATCTTGGTGTTGCGAGACAGACACTTTGACTTTAGCAGAAGTTAAAGGGCATAGTATACTTTATTTCTAGATTTTATTCAAGATTGTATTTCTTCTCTCAGCAAGTTGGAGCAGTTGAAGTTTGCACCCAAGTACTTATATGTTTCCGTTGGTTTGATTTTCATATTATCGACTTGGATGTGGCCGCAGTTTATATTCTTTCCATGTCTAGTTAGTATTCTACAGAATAGTAAACATTTAAAAACATTTTATGTTTTGCATCCTTCAGTCAGTCTGTGGTAACTAATAACTAGGAATGAAAGAATCCTAAGTATTATAACAAGTAACTAAACTTGGAACTTGTCACCTTCAGCTTAGTTAATGCATGAAAGCTGCATTAGCTTTCAACAAAACCAATCGTTCCATGTTGTCAGCATTAAGGCCGTGTATGCAAAAGCGGGTGTAAGGTATCTACTATTCGTATTCGGCCCGACCGCAACTATCCGGCCGAATACTGAATAGTCAACAAGTCCACTATTCAGCCCTGAAGCAAATACGAAGCGAATATTCAGTACAGCCCTAGTTAATATGTCACTGTCTGGAACATACGGATTTAAAAAAGTTTATATATGATGTTCGAAGTCACCAATCAACTTATGGCGAGATTCTTGCTGCACAGAATAGGAGTCGTCAGCGAAAACACACGAAAGAACCTGATTAGAGGAAGACTGATGGGTATGTCTAACATGCAATGAATGAACAACACCCAATTGTAAAAATACAAACAACAGTGGATTAAAAGACCTTAAAGGCAGAAGCTTTTATCAGATCCAACTGAGTTACTAACTGCATGTATTTTAGATGTAATAAACAATCAAAAACACAAATGTATTGCAAAAATCAAGCCATATTGTCAAAATACCTGTGCCATCTGCCTGGAGCACCCCCTCGACCCTTTTCCACATCATCCATAGCCCTAAGCAAGGTACAAATTCTAGAAATAGAAACCCAAAAGTCTCAAGCAGGCAGCTAGGCAGATAAGGGACCTCCACCTCATTGTTTATCCAAAGACAAGAGCCAGCAGCCGACACATGAATAAGATTATACACCTGCCTCCAGTCAGAGATTCCATAAATCAGATTGATACTGAACTTTACTTTAAGCGAGGTCTCCATGTACACTTTACTTTACGCGAAGTCTCCATGTACAGATGGTTAAGTCCCAGTGTTCTGAAGGCTGTCTGGTTTTTCTGTCTATCAGTTAGCTGGATGAGAGTGAGTTATGATTTTTTTTTTTTTTAACTTAGTGCAATAAAACTGACCCTCTTCTGATATTCTATTCTTGACAAGGAAATGCCTCTAATCTGTGGAGGCTACCTTATCCTAATACCAAGCTTTCATAACTTATTCTGAATGACAAAGTGCATAATGTCATTTAGAGGTGGTCATTGTTTGGTTACTGTTTTGCCAGTTCTTCTTTATGGAGCAGAATGCTGGAGAATGACCAAAAAGGATGTACAAAAGCTGTCCACCTTCCACCACACGTCTACTTAAAATTATCAAAATTTTCCGGCCAGATACAATCTCAAACACTGAAATACTTCAAGTCACAAACCAAGAAACTCTAGACAGAATGATAACCAAGAGAAGATGGAAATGGCTTGGCCACGTTATGAGAATGAATCCTGATATACCTGCCAAGACAGCTCTCACATGGATACCAGAGGGAAAGAGAAAAAAGGGGCGCCCAAAAACAACATGAAGACGAATGATGGAATGTGACCTGAGTGTGGCATCTTTGACATGGAAAACTGCATCGAAGACTGCACAGGACAGGAAAGCATGGAAAGTCCTCTCTGAAGCCTCATGTGCCACTAGGCATAACGAGAACTGATGATGATGATGATGATTGTTTGGTTAGTTATAAAGAGTGAAAGAGGCTGTTAGAGGACTGTCATACAGTCACATACATTGCCAGATCATTTTTCTTTGTCAATAAAGCCACTGGATTCTGCATTTACAATCCACAGATTTGCAGCATTTCATAAACATTTAGAATTCGTCAGTTTTATTGTTTTGAAGTAAAATGTATTGCTATTCTTACTGTTATCAGCCAGCTGGCAGTTATTAAGTACGATCCTGGAATATACTTAGGTCAAAGGTCATCCCTTAAGGCCTTGCCCCTGGTCTGCTCTTTATATCAGTTGTTGCAGTAGCAGATACCTTCTACATCTTCCCCAACAAATGACAGAGCCAAGTACTTCGTCAATTTTCAACATCTGGAGTCACTTTGTAAATTCTATCATCCAATATCTAACCCTACCAATGAGCTCTGCAACATAGACCCAAAGGAAATGATGTTTGGGTGCTTTAGGTAAAATGAATTTTGATGCAATGCATTTTGAGTTTCTTTTTTCGGAAAGAGAACAGAATTACCAGAAGAAAGATTTAGAAGGTCGGCCTGTACCAAAGGAAGAAGTCAGCAATGCTATTAAACATATGTAGAAAGGAAAGTCAGCCAGGCCAGATGAAATTTCCGTAGAAGAATCAGAAGTACTGGGGGAATTTGGGGTAGAAATATTAACTAAACTGATGAATGACATTCATAACACTGGTTGCATACCAAGTCATATAATTAAATATGTATTTACTGCACTACTCAAAAAACCAGGAGCAATTTAATGTGAACAATTTCAGACAATCAACTTAATAGTAAATCATGCTACCAAATTACTACTTAGAATTATAATGAGAAGAACAAGAAGAAAAATACGAATGGAAATGAGTGAAGAGCAGTATGAATTTATGGAAGGCAACGAGACAAGTAATGCAATATGCATTTACAACCACTGATTTAATGTCAGAAATAAGAGTGCTAAAATGTTTCATAAAACCTTTTGTGAACCTTCTCTGCTGTTTTGCAGCGAATCTTGGAATGTCATTAAACAAATTAATAAAAAATTGGGAGCAACAGAAATGTGGTTTCTGAAATGAATATTACGAATACCTTGGATGGCTAGAGAAACTAAAACGATTGAAAGAAGTTGATGAAACTAGATCTCTATATACAACAATAAGAAGGAGACAAACACTGTTCTCTGGATTTGTTGAGAAGAGAGGCATTGGAAAACATTGTAACAACTGGAAAGATCAGTGGAAAGATGGGTTACGCAGACCAAGAGAGATGATGCTGGATGGGATGAAACGATCGCAGGGAGGGATATTATCAAGAGAACTGTTCCAGGCAGCCAGGGATCGTGATCTGTGGAGAGGCATGAGTGTTTATGCCAATTGGCAGGGCACATGATGATGATGATTTTAGGTATTACAGAGGTTCAGTTCATAACTAACCTACCGATCTACTTTCTCATTATGTCTATAAAGCATATATATATATGTTTCAAACAATAAGATATTTGTTAACACAGACTACAAGCTCCGTTCAAAAAGCATACAACCTTTGGCTAGGAAAAATACTATTAACCTTAAATCCTAATCCCTGACAAAGTTGTCACCTTGGGTGGTGCCACCAGAGTTGGGAGAATTTCAGGAAAGTCATTTTAGTGATGGTCTACACCAAGATTATTGCATTCCATATACTGCCTTTTATGATATCAACAGAGTCACTGGCAATTTCAGCTTAAAAAAAAAGCTGAAGAAATCACCAAACAGTCACATCAGCAGAAATCAGCAGCCTGACTAGCCAGAGTAATGTTGTGTTTGACCAAGAAAATCTGCAACAGATTTGGAGAAAGGGCATGTGCATTGTCTTAATGGAGCTGTCAAGCACCTGTTGCAGAGAGATCAGCTGATGCATCACACAATCACCAGTGATCTTTTTGCATTGTGTGTTGAACCAGTGCTTGTTCTTATCTCAACTAAAGCACTCACATGGTGACACAATGGCTGCACATGACCACAATCCTCACTTTGGTAGTTTTCTTCTTCTTCTTTCTGTGTGGTTCTCCCTGCCAGAGGTTTTGAGATGAAAAGGCCACATGCCTCTACCAAGTTGGTGGTGTGATGCATGTCTTCTTCTGTTCCAGACAGCTTGGTTTTCTTTGGAATATCAACTGGCCAGATAGGGGGTTCTCTCTATTGCATGTCGTGCCTGTCTACATCAGCAAAGTTCTGGATCTCCAGTCATGAATTTCTTGCACATTTGGCTGTAGTCTGTTGTGTCCAATACACAGTCAAAATACAAGGTTCTGTTTCTTTCATGTGAAGAGACTGATTGGGTCTTCAGGACTGCATCAAGGATGTCAAGTGTTCCAATGGCTGAATTAATCTGAAGTTTATTTTCCTTATAAGTACATCCTATATCTGGCTTTGTCAGGGATTTAAGTTATATTCTTTTGTTGACTGCCAGTTAGAACATGGTCAGGGATTTAAGTTATATTCTTTTGTTGACTGCCAGTTAGAACATGGTCAGGGATCCACCAAAGTGTGATCATCTTTATAGTGCTTACACCACTCCTCAATTAACTCTTTAAGTCCCAGAGGCTTTAGCATCACAGGCCCAAGGGGTAGTCAAAAGAGACGTAAAATTGGCTCACCGTGCGTTTGTTGGGCTTCTAGGCAGTAACCTATGAACGTATGATGCGTTCCTTGGGACTCAAAGAGTTAATGTGTGTCATGCCATTAATGTGTGTCATGCCATTGTTATCAAAATCCTGTTGATCTTTTGAATAGTCTCTACATGAGTGACTCCGAATTGTTGTCAACATTTTATGCAACACACCTGCATGTCAATCAGCTATTTTGCAGCACATTAACCTAATGTGTGTTCACTATACTGATTGCCAGCAAGTGGTAGAAAATGTGCCCAACTATTGTGGTACAAGGAACATGTGGACCAAGAAAAAAACAAATAATGACATCTTCATTTACTACTCTAGGAAAAATTAAAATTTAATACTTTGTGAACGGACCTCACATTTATCTGCTCTACTCACTACGTCACTGACCTTCCATCTGACTGTCATGCTTATTCCTTAGTTCCTGGATCTCTTCTAAATGGGATATCTTGAGTGCATTCAAGTCCAGCTTGCTCTCATTTTTCATGTCTGAAATCTGTCAGAACAAGATTCTGTCAGAACAAGATTCTGTTAGAACAAAGCCCCCACATTTCAAAAGTATTCATCCGAGTAATAATATTTCAAAGTAAAATGCCAGGCTAATCTGGTTAAGCATTTGAATATATTTGGGACGATATGAGCAGAATAAAGGTATGGAGTCTACATCTTAGATATGAGCAGAATAAAGGTGTGGAGTCTACATCGTAGATATGAGCAGAATAAAGGTGTGGAGTCTACATCTTAGATATGAACAGAATAAAGGTATGGAGTCTACATCTTAGATATGAGCAGAATAAAGGTATGGAGTCTACATCTTAGATATGAACAGAATAAAGGTATGGAGTCTACATCTTAGATATGATCAGAATAAAGGTATGCAGTCTACATCTTAGATATGAGCAGAATAAAGGTATGGAGTCTACATCTTAGATATGAGCAGAATAAAGGTATGGAGTCTACATCTTACATATGAGCAGAATAAAGGTATGGAGTCTACATCTTAGATATGAGCAGAATAAAGGTATGGAGTCTACATCTTACATATGAGCAGAATAAAGGTATGGAGTCTACATCTTAGATATGAGCAGAATAAAGGTATGGAGTCTACATCTTAGATATGAGCAGAATAAAGGTATGGAGTCTACATCTTAGATATGAGCAGAATAAAGGTATGGAGTCTACATCTTAGATATGAGCAGAATAAAGGTATGGAGTCTACATCTTAGATATGAGCAGAATAAAGGTATGGAGTCTACATCTTAGATATGATCAGAATAAAGGTTTGGAGTCTACATCTTAGATATGAGCAGAATAAAGGTATGGAGTCTACATCTTAGATATGAGCAGAATAAAGGTATGGAGTCTACATATTAGATATGAGCAGAATAAAGGTATGGAGTCTACATCTTACATATGAGCAGAATAAAGGTATGGAGTCTACATCTTAGATATGAGCAGAATAAAGGTATGGAGTCTACATCTTAGATATGAGCAGAATAAAGGTATGGAGTCTACATCTTAGATATGAGCAGAATAAAGGTATGGAGTCTACATCTTAGATATGAGCAGAATAAAGGTATGGAGTCTACATCTTAGTTTTGAGCAGAATAAAGGTATGGAGTCTACATCTTAGATATGAGCAGAATAAAGGTATGGAGTCTACATCTTAGATATGAGCAGAAAAAGGTATGGAGTCTACATCTTAGATATGAGCAGAATAAAGGTATGGAGTCTACATCTTAGATATGAGCAGAATAAAGGTTTGGAGTCTACATCTTAGATATGAGCAGAATAAAGGTATGGAGTCTACATCTTAGAAATGAGCAGAATAAAGGTATGGAGTTTACATCTTGTTTCAACAGCTTGGAGTTCCAGTCAAAGATGAGTGAAATGATTTTCAAAACAATGGTTTCCCCAGTTCATCAGTGATATGGTAACTAATAATGTGACCCTCAAAATCATGTAGCCAATTAAAATCCATAACAGATTACTGAGGACTTTATCTCAAACAAAAATTACAGAACAATGGAAACATTTCAATCCAAATGTCCAAAATTTTTTTTTAAATAATAAAAAGCAGCTGAAGGTATCATTTAAAAAATGTAAGACACTGTTTGAAAGTTATCTGAAAAACTGTAGTAACTATATATCAACCAAGAGCAACCAAATTTTTTTTTTTTCAACCATAGACATAACACTCTAGGCTGACACCAGTCTTTAGACAAAAACATACAGCCCAGATCTAGCTGTGACCACCATCATCATGTGTTACCTGTCTCTCATGGGCCAGCCGCAACAGGTCAATCTGTTTATCATGGAACTGAGTTACTGAAAAAAAAAAGAACAATGATCTTTGATTACAATAATTCTGCATTGTACTTATTGTCCTTTTTTTTTTTTTTTTGCAGTTACACCATTGGAAATTCTCTCTCTCTCTCTCTCTCTCTCTCTCTCTCTCTCTCTCTCTCTCTCTCTCTCTCTCTCTCTCTCTCTCTCTTCTCCCCCTCTCTCTCTTCCCCCCCCCCTCTCTCTCTCTCTCTCTCTCTCTCTCTCTCTCTCTTTCTCTCTCTCTTTCTCTCTCTCTCTCCCTCTCCTGACTCATTTATCCATACATGCATGCCTGCATGCCTACCAATGTCCTCCTCTACCATATCTTGCAAACATACTATTTCACTAAATTTTCTAGCAGCTCTCTGGCTACAAGAATTAACTCACTAAATCTATGGTATGGTCAAGGTTCAACTCCTAATGCACAATGAAATCTTCCAGTGACCTCTTAAGCTGTAATGTCAGCACAGCTCTATTACCAGCCACAAGAATAATATCCATGGAATTAATAGCAAACTATGCAATAGTAGCCAAATCCTGCCTAAGCGATATTGGTCAAATACAGTTTGATACTGAAAAGATGCATCCTGACACTGGTCAAATACAGCATAAATGAAACTAGTCAAATGCAGACTGATACTGGTCAAATACAACCCAGTACTGGAACATACCGCCTGATACTGGTCAAGTACAACCCAGTACTGGAACATACAGCCTGATACTGGTCAAGTACAACCCAGTACAGGAACATACCGCCTGATACTGGTCAAGTACAACCCAGTACTGGAACATACAGCCTGATACTGGTCAACTACAACCAAGTACTGGAACAATACAGCCTGATAATGGTCAAGTACAACCCAGTACTGGGTCATACAACCTGATACTGGTCAAGTACAACCCAGTACTGGATCATACATCCTGATACTGGTCAACTACAACCCGGTACTGGAACAATACAGACTAATAAAGGTCATAGAAAACCCGGTACTGGAACATGCAGCCTAACTCTGATCAAATATACCTAGAACTGGAACAATACAGACTTATACAGGTAATTAACAACCTAGTACTGGAATAATACAGACTAATACTGGTCAAATACAACCAGTACTGGAACTAAACAGACTGATTTTGGTCAAATTTAATCTAGTACTGGAACAAGTCGGCATCTGTGGCTTAGGCGGTTTGAACGCGCTTTGTAATGCTGAGGTGGCGGGTTCAAACCCAGCTGCAGATAGTTTGTCTTGCATTGGTTTCAACAGTAGTACTAAGAGATGACCGTTTAGAAGCAATGGCAAACACCTGAACATAAAATTTAACTAGAAAAACCACAACAGCCAAAAAATGCTAGGGTTGGTCCTGCAACGTAAAGGATACACAACTAACTTTTTATCTGGAACAATGCAGATGATACAGGTCAAATACAACCCAGTACTAAAACAATACAGCCTGATACTGGTCAAATGCAACCCAGTACTAGACCAGTACAAACTTATACAGGTCAAATATAACCCATATGTTGCTCTGAGACAGAAATGATACGATAACCCTACATTCCTATTATCTATTATATTTTTCAGTTCCAACTAACACGTGATGTACAACTGGCTCTTCCCAGTAAATCAGACCATCCCATACATATGTTGTCTTATATTTTATGTTTGGTCAGAGCATGCTACAAAAATGGCTCTCCTGCAGTCACTTTGAACAATAATCTGATTCACTGAAAAGTATTTGAAAAACATACATTCAGGGTTATTCATGATGATTATTTCGTTACAGCTCCTCTCACGACATGATAAACTCAGATCTTATAATCAAATAAGCAGCTGAGATATACACATGAGGCATGGCGTCTGCCCGGGTTCGAGCCGCGTCCTGGGTTCAGGCGCTAGTAGAGGCTGGAGATTTTTTTCAAGTGGACTTCTAGTAATTCTCCCAGTATCTGGGTAGTAAGATCGAATGCCCGTGTGTATTGTTGCCCACATAAAAAAATTCTTTCACAGCTGAAAATGGAAAAGAGTAGCAACAGTGCTGACCTGGCAAAATTTGGAGTTACAAATCTACCAAAATATTTTAGGATCCTTGCTGCTGCTACGGAGTTCGTGCATTGTGCTGAAATTCTTCGGACTCAAACTTGAGTCAGTAGTAGAACCGAGCACTTATGGGTTACTACCCTTGTGCAATGATGCTGATATGTCGTCTAAACCTAAACCTAAAAACTCTTTCAACAAATGGGCAAATACAGAGGTCATCAATCAAACATCATAAAAACTTGTGTTTCTCAATATATGATCAATACATACAACTTAATTATGTGGCATAAACAGATCTTCCAATAATTCAAGGAAAACATATGCATTTGTTTATCTAGGTAAACACTGACTGCTCACACTAAATTCAAACAATATATCTCAAGAAAAATCACATACACTTTTTCACATTCTCTTCATGTTTGGATGTAAGTTCATCCCGCTGAGTGGTGAGTGCTGCATTAAAAGTATCATCCATTTCTTGAGTGATTTTCTTATGCTCTTCTCGCTCCTTGTCTATTGTGTCACACGCCTCCTGTGCTCTCCTAGTTGCCTCATCTTTCTCCTGTGTGATTTGAGTCAAGCTGTTCTCGAGTGTTCCCTTCTGGCAGTTGAGATCAGCTGTGAAGAAAGGGAAAACAAAATGGTGAAAGTGCTTTTCTGGGATTTGTTACTAATTGCTGTAAATAATGAGAAATGATGCGGAAGCTGCAGGGATGTGATTTTACAAAAGAATGATGAGAACAGCATGGACAGATAAAAGTGTCTAAAAGTTGTCTAGAGAACACATTACTTCTAAAGAGAACTTAATACCCACTTCAAACAGAAACAATCCAATGGCCGTGAGAACTAGAGAGCTGAAGTAAATCTTGACAATAGGAAAGAGTGAAGAGAAGCAGGGGTAGACCAAGAGAGCTGATGTTGGACAGCCTGGCATCAGGATATAGAGAAGATCTGTAAAAGAAATGACTGGCAGTGTTCAATACTGAAGGCTATAAAGAACAGTTAACACATGTCATGGACTAAAAGAGAAAGGAGACTAAATAAATGTAAGTGCATGAACAGGAACTAAATGTCCTTGTGGAAATTGACAGGTTTAACAGGTATTTTAGAATATATAGTTGAAGTATCATTTGCGAAACATCTACCAGACATGGTACTATTAAAATACATGGTTTTACAATTCACCAAATGTTTTTTTGTTTCCCCATTTATTTTTAAACAAACGTTCTTTTGTTTACTTTAAATAGTTTATCTATATCTGCAGTGTTGTCTCTAGTATGAACTTCACTGTCTTTTGTAATTCACTCAGCGACCCGTAAAGTTTGGCTTGCTCTGTGTTTCTCTTGGCCAAATATTTTGCCTTGACATGCTGTATTTGGGACATTCTTGGCGGACGTGATCTGTTGTCTCATGTGCCAATCCACATGTACACATGGCTGATTCGCAGATTTTAAATGTTGTGTACACGTGGCTGCGTAGTCGATTGTGCCCTGTTCCAATGCGCAGAATAATAACTTGCTCTAGTCTGTCCATAATATGGTAATCGTCTTGTGCCGGTTTTGGTGGCTTTCTGATTGACTTGATTATTCTTTTCTTCTGTCGATAAGAGACTGCTACGTCAGGTCGTTCTTCATTTGCACCTTCCTTAGCTAGTTTATCAGCTCTTTCATTTTCATGAACTCCACAGTGGGACGCTATCCACTGCATGGTTACCTTACACCGGCTGCCAAGTTTGGAGAGTAGTGTTCGTATACCAGGTAGTTTTCCAGATTAGAGTGCCTGAAGTACGGCTCTTCTACCTTACTGTGTGTGTTTTAATTCATTTCCAGTGTGAGTGTGTGTGTATGTCTGTGAACTGGTGTTTGAATATGCAAACATTGGTACATGCATGCACTTGTGTGTGCGTGCATGGTTTTCTTTTTTTCGGGTCCGATTTCTATCAAAACTTGTGAAGTCATATTTTTCCCTGCCTTGCAGAGTTTGTTTAAGTTTCCTGCTATCTCTCTGACAAACTTGCTGTGTGCCCCAAGGAACCAATTTCATACATTAACAGACTTAATTGTGTGTTATCTAAAGTTTAAACTAAAGATTCATTCTGGTTATCTAAATCACTTTAGGGGAATCTGTTATGAGGACATGAAAGTATTATTCTCTGTGCCAAAGACAGCTTTGACTTTCTAATTATCCCAATTAAATAGAACCTACCCCCCCCCCCTCCCCCTCCCCCGAGGAGAGCTGGGAGCAGTGACTAGACATTAGCCACTAGACATTAGCCACTAGACATTAGCCACTAGACATTAGCCACTAGACATTAGCCACTAGACATTAGCCTGCTGGCATAAAGATCTTGGGTTCAGACTAACATCAGGGGACATTTTGTAACTGGCATTTAGGTTGATGCAATCTAAAATAGCTACCAGGAATTTTCTTCTTTGGGTTCACAAGCTGTCAAGTTCTGCTTGTTCATCCACTTCTAGACTCTAGTCCTGTTCCAGAACCTGAATGTCTGTGCACATCTGTTTTACAAATCATTTGTATGCAGAATATTGGTCCCTGGCCTCCCAGTCAGATGCACTCTGACTTTCAAGGAAGCTTCCAATTAGACGACTCTTACGATATGCTTCTGGGTAGGCAATGGGTCTATTCTTGTTATCTTCAAAATTTTGGAACCCACACATGGAGTCCTGGGAAATAAAGGTGGCTAGCACAAAGTTGATCACATTGCCCAGTGACGGTTGGCTGGTCATTTCAAACTATGGTTCACAAATAATGTCAAAAGAATCCTTTAGTTGTTGTACCAAGTCATGCTGAAGAATTTCAAATGCCTGGTTTCTTTCACTTCAATGTCTCTCAGCTTACAAAACACTCTAGGCTTAACATCATTATCCAATAATCCCGTACTTAGTTTAAAAAAAAAAAGGAAAAAACCTTGTATACCACTGGTGCATCAGGCAAATGATTAGACTGCAGTCTGTCCTCTTCAGGATTGTAGTACACAGGACGAACATGTCAAGGATGAGATTCTTGTATGGACACATCCCGTAAGCCCTGTCCAACTGTAAGGTTATACTGGGGGCCGACAATTACATAACATGAAGTCTGAACTAGGCAAGGACAGTGCTAAGCTAGACATATTTGTATAGACATCTGGGTTAGGGATGTGGTCGACATCACTCACTCCAAATAATGCAGTACTAAACACACAATTTTGCTACAGTGTTTGATGAGAATTCAACATACAACAAGAATATGATGTGCACACAAACAAACAACTTGAACACAAAATGACCCACCTATTTGTGCCAGACAATCTGCCAGCTGCTTCTGTACTATCTGCACATTGTTGGCCAGCACGGGGCACTCAAATGCGTTTAGCTGTAAACAGACACCAAGACAAAAGTACAACACTTTAAGATGATCTGACAGTTTTCAATCAAGTGCAAGACTAAAAAACAGACAAATATCTTCAGTGATAATTGACAATGAATGATTTTTCACACTAAATGTCTGAAGTGCTGTTTTATAAGAGAAATGTTATGTCTAGGGGTAAATGCTTAAATGACGTTTCATGAGATAAGTTGGGTGAAAATTCCTGATACGAGTTTCCTGGATGATGCGTTGCAATGCAAGTGTCTTGAATGATGTTTCAACAGTATTTTCAATAAAATTTCAAAAGTAACTGCTAGAGTGATCTTTCTTGCATGGTGTTAAGGATCTTGGTTGACATTTAATTTTGCAAAAGACATGCAGAATGGGATGAGGAGGAGGGTGATAAAGGAGGAGGGGAAGAGGGAAAGAAGAAGGAAGAGGAATGGGATGGGATGGGAGGGAAAAAGAAGAATATTAGAAGAAGAAAAAAAGAGGACAGGCAGGTAATAATGAGTAGGGGAAAAAGGAGGAGAAGATTTACAATACACTGCTCATTTGTCATATCATTAGACAAAGTAAACTATAATCAAAACATCTGAATTTGTAAAATGTTATATCTGTACACAGTAAATTATGATAGAAGACAATAACCTCTCTCCAAAGAAACATATGAAAATAATACACCTGCTGCACATATGAGGATCATTAAATAGCAAACTTAAACTTACATCAGCACAACAATAATTGACCAGAACTGCCATGGCATCAAACGCCTGGCCAGTTGCTCGCAGCTGCATCTTTGTGTGGGTCAGCTCTTTGGTTCTTGCCTCACACAGAGATTCCAGCCGTATGATCTCCGCCTTGGCAGCGTTGGTGGCAGCCGCGTTGCTTGGGCCCTGGGGGATGTTAGTGCTGACCCTGGGTGCACCATTAGTTTGTGTTTTTCTTGAATAGTCTGACAAGTAAAGAAAACTATAATTAAGAAGTCACATTTCTATAAACTGTATTCCATTAGCTGTAGTGATAATTGATCACTTACAGTCAACAATATGTCAAGTCAAAAACACATGTCACGCCAGAGGCACGCTGGGTATATGGTGCTATAGCCATATTTTATAGACCAATCACCATTGAAACATGATGTGATCAACATTAAGTCAGTAGACCAATCAGCACTTGAAACGTGATATAGTCAACATTATGCCACTAGACTGATCAGCACTTGTTGGCAAACTTTTGGAAAAAATTGTCGCACAAAGATTGACCACCTACTTGGAACTACATGATAAGTTCCCATCAACACTTGGAGGGTACAGGTTGAAGAAAGAGACATGGTTCAATGCTGCTGTTTTCGCCTACGATGTGTACGAGGGATTTCAGATTAAAGAAGAGACATGTGCGGCAGTGTTGGACTTAGAAGATGCCTACAATAAAGTACCATACGAATATTTAATGCAATTACTGCTTAAACTAGAAGTCAATCCTATTCTGATCCGCTGGATTGCTGCGGTCCTGTTCCAGAGAAAGATTGTACTAAGATGTGGTAGCTGGTCCTCAGAACCGCAAACGATATGTCCAGGCTTGCCACAGGGATCACCGCTATCACCCAGTCTTATTCAACGTTTATACGGTGATGATCACTGAGCAGCAGTTGAATGGAAAGGGAAGGACTTTGTCATTTGCTGATGACATTTTGATTTATCGACGAGGGCGTGATAGACAGGAGATCGCCAGCACAATGCACAAAGAACTCGATCGAATTGCCGCCTGGTGTGATGGTTCCAATGCCTATGTCAATCCTTCGAAGGCATCAGTGTCATGGTTCTCTTTGAACAATCACATTGTCAAGTCGGACTTACCAGAAGTGAAAATGCGTGATAATATATTGATCAGAACCAACGTTATGACGTTTCTCGGGGTGAGGTTCGATCGCAGCTTGTCATTCAGGGAACACGTTGACCATGTGATAACAAAAGCACGCAAAGGTCTATCTGCATTGAGGATTATGGCTGCTTCCAATATCGAGCAAAGACTACTAATACTTCTATTCTACGGTCTGGTCCTTTCACCCATTGAATACGCTCTGGCCATCCTCACTGTCAGTGCTACCCAAATTGAAAGACTCGAAAAGGTGCAAAATGAAGCCATGCGCATTATTTTGGGATGTACAAGAGACACATCCTGTGAAGCAATGAGGTATCTACTTGACTTTCCAACAATGAACCAAAGGATCAGGATGTGGAGGGCTCGGGCATACCTCAAAATATGTGCTGATAAGAAACACCCACTGCATCAAGCGCTTTTTAGTGAAAAGGGCGACAGACTGAAGAGGGGAAAATCGTGGCTAGGTCGGGCAGAAGATGTTATTAGGCAAATATGCAGCCTAACCGACATCATACCTGGTGCAGAATGGATACCTGTGCCTCAGGCGTTTATTTGTACATTTTCCTGTATTGTCACACTCAACAGGCGATGTAGAGAAGAGAATCCTGTTGCTGTTAATGCAGAGGTCAACGCTCTCATCGGTGAAAATTCAGACGAAGCAGATGCACTAATCTATACAGACGGATCCGTTATACGCCAAAGAAGAAGCGCATGGGCATTTACAGCACGCTCAGCGGGCAGAACAGTCAAAGAAGCCAACGGTGCCTTCTCCATGACAACCAGCAGCATGACGATGGAGGTGATGGCAGTGACGCAAGCGTTTGCCTGGCTTGAAACACAAAAATACACCCGCATATGTATACTCAGTGATTCAATGAGTATGATCCGGAGGGTTCAGGCAGGTTCAGTGCGAAGACAATGGCTTGAATCGTTACAGAAGTCCACTGTGCGTGGAGTCACCTTTATTTTTGTTCCGGGACACGCAGGCGTCGATGGAAATGAAAGAGCTGACAGGTTGGCTGGATCCGCTATCACTACCGACGGTCGGCCTATGGATCACGCTGATATTATCAATGCCCTCAGAGAAATGGGAAGGATAGAGGACTTTGGTGGCAGTGAATCCACATCACTCGCCAGAATGGCAGACTTGGGAATTAAGATCGGCACAGCAAAAAACGAGACGCACACCGGACACGTCAGAAGACTTGTTAATCAACATAGAACTGGTACTATTAGCCATCGGACGTTGGGGTTCATACTGAGGGGAGGATCTGAGCACCTATGGACATGTCCGGAGTGCAATGACGATAACCCAACTAACTAACTAACTAACTAACTGATCAGCACTTGAAGCATGATGATGTCAACATTATGTCAGTAGACCAGTCGGCACTGAAAGCATGATGTGATCAACATTATGTCACTAGACTGCTCAGCACTTGAAGCATGATGATGTCAACATTATGTCAGTAGACCAGTCAGCACTGAAAGCATGATGTGGTCAAAATTATGTCAGTAGACCAGTAGGCACTGAAAGCGAGATGTGGTCAATATTACATCAGCAGACTAATCAGCACCTGAAGTGTGACATGGTCAACATTAGGTCAGTCATCTTTACTTCCCAAGACATTTTCTACAACCCATTCTAGACTAGGCCGACCTAGAACATTTAAAGCATTAAACTTTAATTTTAACCCAGATTTGTTTAGAATTTTCTATGTAAAATCTCCTTCTTCTGTGCTTGCCCTTTAAAGGTGGTTGGCATATTGTGTTGTGGTTTAATGCTAAGCTGTGATATCTGTACCTTTTGTCCCTACACGTAGGATTTCAGCGCATCCCAGTTAGCTGCCTTTCATGACATGCCTGTTATGGGTTAGTGGGTCTATATTTTTTCTTATAAATGGAGTCCGGAACATAAATAAAATATAATGTTTTTGCAATATTTATTTATATTATATGTGCAGTTTATCAAGGATTATTAATAAATTTATCTGATAAAAATATGTTTTCCTTAACATGATACCATACCCGTTACATTAGTTAACATATTTTCATATGTATTTCTTACATATGTTTAGTTTTTAAATGACAAAAAATAATTAGCTTTTGATCAAGAAATGAAATAATTAACCCAGCAAAAACTATAACTAGAAAGCCACTGTAATGTAGCGGCTAGATGCTCGCCTGCCGATCTGAAGGGCTTGGGTTCACTTCCTGACGGAGCTAGACTTTATTTATTTTTTAAGAAATGACCTCACAGGTTAACCCAGCCTTGAGTGGGTACCAGGTACAGATCTGGGAAGTAAAAGCAGTGGGTACCAGGTACAGATCTGGGAAGTAAAGGCAGTGGGTACCAGGTACAGATCTGGGAAGTAAAGGCAGTGGGTACCAGGTACAGATCTGGGAAGTGAAGACAGCCGGCATGATGCTGACCGCATCACCCAACGAATCCTTATTGGTCTATAAAATATAGGTCTAGTCCTATATGCCAAATAGCCTAAAGGCGTGGGAAGAGGTCCTTTACTTACAAACTATATTCAAAATGCCAGTTGAGTCTCTGAGTAAAAAAATGATTTGTGTGTGTGTGCGTGCGTGTGTGTGTGTGTGTGGGGGGGGGGGGCGGAAGCTCCTGGTTTGTGTAATGATAATTAATTTCTTGGTATCAGCTCGACTACAGCCAAGTTCATTGTCAACACCCTACAGGTTTTAGTTACATTATGTATCTGAACTGCTCTAGTAAATCAAAAGCAGCAGACAAGTTGTGGGCTGTTACAAGACCAAACACCAAATCTTAAAACAAAAATACCCTGATGAAATGATAAAAAAAGATCACTTGGAAAGTTTAACGGTGAAAGCAGGTACAATACACAAATGGTGTAAACATGTGCAACAAATTGAGCATGATACGGGGATAAGGTATCTTACATGAGTGAGGTCAGCTTATAGGTTCATATATATATTTTTTATATATATTATATTTTATATATATATATATATATATATATATATATAGCACATTCTAAAACTGTTTCAGAAACATCCCTAATGTGCTGCTTAATTCTCTTTGTCTGGACTTATTCAATTAAACACAACATAGATGTCATTCCCCACCGCACCAACATCATCAACAGAAAAATATGTTGGGCTGGGCTCCAGGGACCAGGTTACAGTGCCTATGCACAAGCGCACACACATACACACACACACTCACACACAATCTTCTTCTTCTTCACTTCCTCTTTTACCGCTGTGGGTGTTGAGGGAGATATAAGGTTCTGTTTCTAGCTCTTCTGGCCGCCTCGACCATAGGCACATCAGGCTGTTGTAGAGTTTCTCTGATGTTATCCTTCCATCTTGTTCTTGGTCTACCTCGTGCTCTACGTCCTTCTTCTCTTTCCATGTATGCTTTGTAAGGTATGGTGTCACAAGGCATTCTCTCTAAGTGGGCAAACTATTTCACTTGCTGTCTTCGTATGTAATCCAGAATTGGTTCTGTGCCGACTTTTTCTCTTATGATCTCATCCCTGATCTTATCTCTTATGGTCACTCCTACAGCCCTTCTCAGACATCTCATTTCCATGGTTACTAATTTTCTTTTATGGTTTGTTGTGAGTGACCATGTCTGGCACTGGTAGCACAGAGTTGGAATAAATATACTTTGAATAAGATGTCTCTTTGTGCTGATTGGGATTGTCTTATGCTGTAAGAGGGGGGCTAGCTGTCCCAATACTTGATTTGCTTTACTGCATCTAATGTTAATTTCTTTATCCAATTTTCCATCTTCGGTAAATGTAGTTCCCAGATATTTAAACTCAGATGCCTGTTTAATGCCTTTGCACTCTATTGCTATGTTTAGATCTGTCTTCTTTTTTCCTATTGACATGACTTCTGTCTTTTCGGTGTTGATTCTCAT